TGTGTGTGTGTGTGTGTGTGTGTGTGCGTGAGAGAGAGAGAGAGAGAGAGAGAGGTGATCATTGGGTGGTTGCATGGATATATTTCTTGGAAATTGAGCTGACCGTTTTTGCCTCTCATATGTTGTGGCGCATGCTGTGGACGCAGGGGTGAAATGGGTGATTGACAGGGACAAGACGGCGGAGATAAAATTCTGTGCTGTACAGTCACGCAGTGCTGAGCCATACCTTTTTCTTTGTGGTCTGACGAGGGAGGAGGTTCTCCAGCGATTCGTTTTCATCGCAGGGATAGGCGAGTGGTACCGTGCCTCGACGGCTGCTGTTCAAATCGCCGCATGTCTCCCATTTCCGTACCGATTACTTTCTGCCCTAGTATTGATACCTACTCCGATCAGAGATGCTGTGTACGACTACGTTGCCGCGCGTAGATATAAATGGTTTGGGCAAGCAGATGGATGTATCGTACCAGATGAGAGTGTTTTAGATAGATTCATAGATCGCGAAGAGATTGAGGAGTTTATAAAGCGAGAACGGAGGAAAAAGGGAAAAGGAGGGTGCCGAGGGGAAAATGGGGGAGGGGAGGGGACAGATGGCGACAAGGAAGAAGAGGCAGCAGCTGCTGGACTGCAAGGAAGAAGTGGCACTGAGGGAATCGCTGGCAAGATTGTGGCGAACAGTGCGAGCAGGAGGGGATGTAATTGAAAAATGGAAAATGGAATGAGCAGACGCAGAAGCACAGATACCTATTTTGATCCAGCCAAGGAACAGATGTGAAAGCCTGCAACATCACTCTCCACTGACTGTCTAGATGAATCCAAAATCTCACAGATACGCTACTGACTGGGCCGCGACATTTAAATAAGAAACAGGTGGCGAGGTGGCTGTCAGAGCTGACGGATCGGGGAATGGAGTGATTGGTGGATTGGAGATTCAGTTCTTTTTCACTAATTGACATTCTTTCACTGTATGGTCGATCCACTCCTGCTGTCTCTCTCTCTCTCTCTCTCTCTCTCTCGCGCGCGCGCGCGCGCCATTGAGACTATTTTCAAATAGCGTTTTTTTCGTAGTTCATGTGTCACACAACCTAAAATTCTCGTACCAATAGGCAAACCATTATTGATTAAAACAACAGCATTTCTATCAAATTGTAAATAACTGCCATCTTTTCGGTATTTGGTGGCTTTTTTTGTTTCCACTACAATAGCTTTAAGCACATTCTGAGTGTTGCGACCCATTCATGCTTGTTTCAAAGACACTATTATAGTATCACCTAT